CTGCTATGCAGACAATTTGAATAAAGTAAACTCAATAATGTTACCTAAGGTTTACAATCGTCAGAGCACAGAATGTTGCTTCCCAGTGAGCCCGGTCGCAGTCTAGCAGGGAATGGGAACTTGCTGGTTGGTCCCAGAGGTTCACAGCCATTGGTTCAGAGCTGGGTTGTCAAGGAGATGACAATTAGTCTCACCAGGCGCATTCCGCTCATCTCACTGGTGATGAACAATTGAAGAAGTGAAAGTCGTTGTGCTTATTAATATCCTAATTCTCACCAGAATTTGGTTGGATCCAGAGACAATCCTCACCATAGAGTGACTATCCGCCTCATAATGACCATGCACCCCCCTCACATTGACCTTCTATTTCTCATGCTATCCACACAGTGACCATCCAGTCTCCCGACAGAGACTGTCCAACCCCTCACAGAGATCGTCCACCCCCAACCCACAGTGACTGTCCACTGCTCCCACAATGGTCATTCACTCAATCCTTACAGTGACTGTCCATCCCCCTCATAGTGACTGTTCACTCCCCATCATAGTGACCATCCAAATCTCTCATATTGATCATCCACTTCCCTTCACAGAGACTGCCCATTACCCCTCACAATGACTGCCTCACCCCCATCACAGTTCATCCACAACCCCCCCCAGTGACTCTCCACCCACCTTACACACCATTCACCACTCCCATTCATCCAAATCCCCTCACAGTGATTCTCCACCCTCCTCACAGACCTTTCACCATCCCATCAGTGACCATCCACTCTCCTATCAATGATTGTTTGCTCCCTTTTCACTGTGAAAACATCACCTTGTACTCTCAACCACCTCACCCTTCACTGAATTAAAACTAACTTAAGCATGGCTGACCCGGAATAACAGACACTAAAATTCATATGTACTTGTTGAAGACACTCCAACCTGCAGTTACAGATAACTGTGTATACACTCTGGCTCAAGCTTGCTTTTGCTGTACAGCACATACCAGTTTCACCCTATTGTCTTAATTCAGTCCTGTCTTGTTCTCAACCATTCCACCAATGGAATTAGTTTCTCCCGATTTACTTTGTCCAGACTTTTCATTGAAAGGCATTAACCAAAGGTCTTTTAAGTTCTCTTACCAACATTTTCACGGAATCATAGAAGTATTAGAGCTCAGAAGGCCGTTCATCCCATCATGTCCATCCTAGCTCTCTGCAGGAGCAACCCACCTTGCCGTACCCTTCTACAACCCTTCAATTCCTTTCTAAACGCCTCAACTGAACTTGCTTGCACCACACTTTTAAGCAGTGCATTTCAGATCCCAATCTCTCACTGCATAAAAATGTTTTGCTTCACATCTCTACTGCTTCTCTCATTAATCACCTTGGATCAGTGTGCCCTGGGCACTCTACGCATCCCTGTTGCCCAGTGGTTATGCTGTAACCATCGAACTCAAACCAGTGTGAGACTATCGTCAAAGCATTCATGCTTGCAGCATTTGGAAGATAATATAACTCCAAAATTACCATGGCATTTTGAATCTGCACCCATTTGAATCTGCCTTTGATTGATGCAAAGGATTGGCACAACTACAGTCAAGTGGCATATATTAGGAAATAGAAGTTGTTGCTGAAATGGAGTTCACGTACTTACAATAAAAGAACCTGACTACAAAATCAGTCTCTGCTTTACAAAATTAAATTATTGGTTGCGATGCACTTTCATGAGGTCCCAAGGCCATAAAAAAGACACTATACAGGTTTTTTCTTGTTTGTGTATAGAATTGCATTCACTTTGTCCCATTCTCATCTATCTAATCATAGTGAGAATCTTTGTTGCTTCGTCTATGCTCATCTGTGAGTCCCTGATATTTTTAATCTACATACGCCCCCTCAGCAACATCATTCATAAGCACTGCATTTGCAGCCATGTGCATAGAATCATACAGTACAGAAGATGCCCTTTGGCTCATTGAGTCTGTACTGCCAAACATATACCACTACCAATATTAGTCCTACTTTCCAGTACTTGCCCATAGCCTTGAATGTTATGGCACTTCAAGTACTCATCCAAGTGCTCTTAAAGATCAAGTTTGCCCACCTCAACCACGTTCCCAGGCAGCACATTCCAGAACCCCCACCATCCTCTTGTTGAAAAAAGTTTCCTCAAATCTCCTCTAAACCTCCTGCATTTCACTTTAAAATTATGCCCTTTGTTATTGACCTTTCAACTAAGGAGAACACCTGTTTTCAGTTCATCCTGTCCTTGCAAGCTCATGACATCCAGCTCTACCTCCCTTTGACCTCGTATGACCTCTTCAATCTCTAAACTGTCTGCCTCCTTGACCAACATCTCGTACTGGCTGAGCAGAGACTTCCAAATCTGAAGACATTGTTTCTCATTCCATGACAGATTCTGATTGTTTTCCATATTTGTTCATGTAATGTGGACATCACTGGCTAGACCAGCATTAATTGCCCATGCTTAATGACCCTGGATGTGGTAGTGAGTTGTCTTCTCAAACCTATGAAATTTGGATGGTGTAGCACACTCACAGAACTGTCAGGAAGAGAATTCCAGAATTTTCACCCAGAGGCAATAAAGTAACAGTGACATATTTTCCAGTTAGGATGGTGTATGGCTTGGGGGTCAGGTTGCAGGCAGTGGGATTTCTGTGTATTTGATGCCCTTGTCCTTTTAGGTGAGATTGCAGGTTTGGAAGATGCTGCCTCAGAAGTCTTGATGAGTTACTCCAGTGCATCTTGAGATGATGCACACTTTTGCCTCTATGCATCCATGGTGAAGGAATGAATGTCAGAGATGGCAGATTAGGTTCAAATTCAGTGGGCTACTTTGTCCTAAATGGCATCAAGCTTCTTGAGTGTTCTTGGAGCTGCACTCATCAATATCTGCATTTATTTAAGTCTGGCCTCCTGAGCATTTCTGATTTTAATTGCTAGTTTGTTGATGGCCACACCACGTACGAGCAAGGCCCTTAAGCTCTGAAATTCCTACCCTAAACTTCTTACATTGCGTCTCCTTTCCTCCATTCAAATGCTTTTTTTTTGACAATAGCCCTCATAGAATTTTATGTGGCTAAGTGTCAATTTTTGGCTGCAAAATACTCTCATGAAGCACCTTGCGACAATATTTTGCATTCAAACTGCTATATAAATGCAAGTTGTTTGTTTACTTCCATTTTTAGGATCTCAGTTCACAGGCACCCCAGAGTGAGGTTAAAGTTTGGATAATTTTGTGACTATGGGTTTAAAACTTCCACCCAAAAATAATTGCAATAGGGATCTCTGCGAAAGGTTGGGTGAAGTCACACTGTTTAAATAAACTACCAGAAGCTTCACTCTGCATCTAGTGCTAAGGTGTTTGAACTTTGACCCAAACTTTGATTATCCAAACAGTAAAAGTATTCCATGTTACTCAACCAATTTTCCTTACCCTAACACTTTTTATGCAAAAATGTACATTTCAAAGAAATGTTTTTTTAGAATCAAAATGGTTAGGACTGTTTTTGCGCTTTTATTAAAAAAGGGAGATATTCACAGCTTAAAAAATCCAGATATCAAAATTTTGAGAAAAAATATACAAGATAGTTCCCAATTGAATAAAACAAAGAACTGTGGAGGCTGCAAATCTGAAACAAGAACAGAAATTGCTGGAAAAACTCAGCAGGTCTGGTAGCATCTGTGGAGAGAAAAAAAAGTGGATCTGGAATTATTCGTCAGCCATGCTTATAAGGACAGGTTATTTCTGTAACCAGACCAGCTTTTAAAACAACAAGGTGCAGGGCTGGATGAACACAGCAGGCCAAGCAGCATCATAGGAGCAGAG